TTGATGTGTATGAAAGTCAAACTACGATGTCTATTTACACGCATGTATATATTTATATGGGACACACGGTTCTCTAGGAAAGCTTGAGACTGGGATTTTCCAAGTATGCATAAAGGTGCAAAAAGAGTAGTAATATCCTAAAAATCAAACAGTGAATATTATATGCACTTTAAACTACAGATTAGCACAGAAATATGTGTGAATCTATAAATACAAAATTGACAGGAATATATTTTCCTTATTCCTTTAGTTGTGAGGACACTGAAATTCTTACCATTTCTTCGTCATTGTCTATGAGGAGCAGCTGAGAGTTGTTTCTCTGACAGGCTGACACGCTCTCGTTCCAGGTCTTTTTCTCTGCACTAGAGTAATAGCAGCTGCGGGAGTAGGTGAACCACCCCTGTGGGCAAGGGCCGCAACTGTATTCTGAAGAGAGATTTTGAATTACTGCCTAAACTATTTGGATTCATACCCTAAAACACATCATACACAGGGAGATATAATCAATCCTACACATAACACACCCCAGAGCTGTAAGAGAGCACACTCACAGAGAAGGGGCAGCTTATGCTATAGTTTATTCCCCCATAAAATCAGAAGCACACAGAAAATGTGCACTGAGTATGTGCTGGCAATCAGGAAATAAAGTCATATTTTAGTAGTAAAATTGTTTATATCATATAATAGCAGCACAATATGAGCCAACTTGCCACATGAGTTCTAAGTGTATTTTCTTCTTGTTGTTGGATTATTTGAACCTCTACTATGATCATTTTTCATGAATATTTATTGTTTTATAATACCAGAAAATTTGTGATTTTTTTCCCTAACAGATATACATTAAATAAACTGTATAGCATTAATGAATATCATTTTTACCTGTCTGACTCTTTGTTCCTGTGGATAAACCATTCTGCTCTGAATTTTTAGTATACAGAAAAAAATAAAGTAATTACTATAAATATTATTAAAGTTTTCATTAAATAATAATGTAATAATATCTCTAAGATAAAAATGTATGCTGGTAGAGTTATATTAATACTATAATATAGTTGACTCTCCAAAAAATTAATAAAAGTATGAAGCTTTGGGGAGAAATATCACAAAAAATTAATGAGTCAAATTCCTCCATCTGCTACAGTATTGTTTATCATATCTCAAAAATCATTTCATAGTTTTCAATAGGGTCTTTCAATCTCCTAAAGCTTGACTTTGAATCATGAGATCTGAATCTATATAATATAATGTCTACAATCATTCTGTATATTTATAATTTTGAGAAGTTATGATTAACCATTCAACATTTAATTAAACTGATATATTACAATGGGTTTCATATTTGAGAATGAATATTGAAATCCACTTCCCTAAAATGGGAATACATAGAGCTCAATCATGCGAACTTCTATTGAATATTGGATGTAAAACTCTGGTCTGTACAACAAGCCAATAAAAAAGAAAAAGTAATTGCATTTGGAAAGAAGAAACAAAATATGATTACTTATAATAAAATAACCATTTACATAA